AAGTATCTGTTCATATCCTTTGCCCACTTTTGAATGGGCTTGTTTGTTTTTTTCTTGTAAATCTGTTTTAGTTCTCTGTAAATTCTGGATATCAGCCCTTTGTCAGATGGGTAAACTGCAAAGATTTTTTTCCCATTCTGTTGGTTGCTGATTCAATCTAATGACTGTTTCTTTTGCCATGCAGAAGCTGTGGAGTTTGATTAGGTCCCATTTGTCTATTTGGCTTTTTTTTTTTTTGAGTCGGAGTTTCGCTCTTGTTACCCAGGCTGGAGTGCAATGGCGCAATCTCGGCTCACCGCAACCTCCGCCTCCTGGGTTCAAGCAATTCTTCTGCCTCAGCCTCCTGAGTAGCTGCTATTTTGGCTTTTGTTGCCAATGCTTTTGGTGTTTTCATCATGAAGTCCTTGCCTACACATATGTCCTGAATGGTTTTGCCTAGATTTTCTTCTAGGGTTTTCATGGTGTTAGGTCTTATGTTTAAGTCTTTAATCCATCTGGAGTTAATTTTAGTGTAAGGTGTCAGGAAGGAGTCCAGTTTCTGCTTTCTGCAAATGGCTAGCCAGTTTTCCCAAAACCATTTATTAAACAGGGAATCCTTTCCCCATTGCTTGTTTTTTTCAGGCTTGTCAAAGATCGGATGGTTGTAGATATGTTGTGTTGCCTCCGAGGCCTCTGTTCTGTTCCATTGGTCTATATCTCTGTTTTGGTACCAGTACCATGCTGTTTTGATTACTGTAGCCTTGTAGTATAGTTTGAAGTCCGGTAGTGTGATGCCTCCCACTTTGTTCTTTTTGCTTAGAATTGACTTGGCTATGTGAGCTCTCTTTTGGTTCCATATGAAGTTTAAGGTGTTTTTTTCCAGTTCTGTGAAGAAGGTCATTGGTAGCTTGATGGGGATAGCTCATCATCACTGGTCATCAGAGAAATGCAAATCAAAACAACATTGAGATACCATCTCAGGCCAGTTAGAATGGCAATCATTAAAAAATCTGGAGACAACAGATGCTGGAGAGGATGTAGAGAAATAGGAACACTTTTACACTGTTGGTGGGAGTGTAAGTTAGTGCAACCATTGTGGAAGACAGTGTGGTGATTCCTCGAGGACCTAGAAATAGAAATTCCATTTGACCCAACAATCCCATTACTGGGTATATATCCAAAGGATTACAAATCATTCTACTATAAGGATGCGTACACACGAATGTTCATTGCAGCACTGTTTACAATAGCAAAGACCTGGAAACAACCCAAATGCCCATTGATGATAGACTGGACAGGGAAAATGTGGCACATATACACCTTGGGATATTATGCAGCCATCAAAAACGATGAGTTTGTGTCCTTTGTAGGGACATGGATGAACTTGGAAATCATCATTCTCAGCAAACTGACAGAAGAGCAGAAGATCAAACACCACATGTTCTCACTCATAGGCGGGTGTTGAACAATGAGAACACATGGACACAGGGAGGGGAGCACTACATACTGGGGTCAGTTGGGGGGAAATAGGGGAGGGACAGTGGGGGTT